TTAGCTTCCTCGTTTGATGATTAACACACCAATAAGTGCATTAGAGAAAGAAAAAGATACAGAATGATCTCGTGGGGGGAGGCTTCTTGCATAATAATAATTTTATTTTTTATATTGTCTTCCAGCTGCAGGTCCAGATTTTTCAAGAACTCTCTTGAAAAGAGTAACTCTTGTCAAAGTGGGAGGTGAAGTTGTCATTGAGTGTAAGCCAAAAGCTTCTCCAAAACCTGTGTACACCTGGAAGAAAGGAAGGGACATATTAAGAGAAAATGAAAGGTACTATCTTGAAATATTTTTAATATTTGGTTAACCTATACTACTTTGTTGGTCTGTAATTAATAGTTTGGGGGAGGCATGGCATATACTCTCTACTATTCCTCAACTAAATGTTAATCAAAGGACTGAAGCTTTGTAAGTGTGGATGGTAAATGATTGGCCTTTATGGTCCTTCTTGATATTGGGATTCTACAAAGCACTTCCTGCAGAGGGAGCTCACATGGTACCTGCTAAAGATTGCTAGAGCTTCCTAAGATGAGCAGCTAGAAACAGCCTCCTTAATTTTAGTCTAAAATTTCATTGTAGATTTGCCCACTTTTCTCCATCCTACCTCCTTTGGCATACACAAATAAAGCTGCTGCTTCTTTGCTATGGCAACCCTTTGATTATTTGGCAATGGCCATTATGTCTCCTGTTAGTCTTTCCTTTTCTGAGGCTAAATATCTCTAATTTCAAAACTCCTTCTGCATATAGCAGATTATTCTGCTTGATTTTTGTTTATTTCAATTGCATCTTTTTGAGACAACAGCTTTTTGTTTCTAATATCCAAACTCTTCACCTGCGTATTTCCTATTATGTATGAATTACATTTAGAATGCATGGTGTTTATACAATGTAAATATATGTGAGTTACTTGAGGTTTTACAGTAGGTTGCACCAAATGGCAGGTGTCTCTGAGACCTTTTCTTGGCTGTCACACCTATAAAACATCCTCTACCTTTTTCTGTAATCTACTCAATCTGTTTCAAAATGGTAATTATGCATGCGTCTATGTTTGTCACCCCTAAGATAGGATTTGCCAGCTGTATACATAATGATCTTAATTGATGCTAAAGGTCAAGTACTCAAGGATGCAATAAGGAAGCCTGTAAAACTGTGTATGGATCTACCTTTATAGCTGTACACCTTTGTATCTGCATATACAAATTAGGCCATTTTGCTGATGACGTTGCCCTTTTTAACGGCTTTTGTAAACAAACCTGATATGGGTTATAGACGATGTATTCACTTAAATATTAAACTCATAACATACATACCTCCCTGATTGCTGGTATATCCAAAGAGCAGTATAGTCAATTGAATATTGGCATGGCATTCAAATTTGGACCCAAATCTGAAAATTTAGAGCACAGTTTCTTATTTTGCAGCCTTCGATATCAGGTTTATTTCTTATTTTACCTCAGTGTTTCCCAAAATGTGGTATGTTAGATTACTTTCAATAGTTATCTATCTACTTTGAACATAATTGGAATATATTAATAACTAGTATATACCACGTGTATTGCTTAGAATAAGGCTACATTTAAAAAGTTTTCATTTAAAGATGACATAAAGAAAAAAATATTAAGAAATAATAATATGGGTAAAAGACAGATATACTCAAAACCATAAATGAGTAATACTGTAGATTAATCAGGAGAGGCCAAGCTGTGCTACTGTAACAAACAACCCACAGTGGCTTAAAACAACAAAAGGCAACTTATCATTCATGCTGCATACACATCAGGGATTTGCCGGTGGCTCTCTCCCCTCTAAGGCCAAGCCGGGTAGAGCAGCACGCTCTCAGCATCGCCATTGCAGAAGGAAAACAGCGTGGACTCTTAAAACTTCTGCCTAGCAGTGCAACACTTCACTTTCACTCACGTTTCACTGGCCAAAATAAGACACATGGCCCTGCAACCCAGCAGGGAAATGCAATCTTACTATGTGCCTAGAAGAAAAGAGACAACCTAATATTTTGAACAGTATTCATGACTGTTTACCACTGCTGCAGCTTAACCATTGTTACACGCTAATTAAATTACCTTTGGGAAAATAGTATATCAATATCAAGAAGTCTATATAATAAGTGAATTTAATTGATTATTTCTACCACTTGACTTACCTGTTTTCATTCCTTCTATTTCTGATTTGATTAATAGGGTTCAAATATGCTTCAGCATTTATGTGGCACTAAAAATATATTTAAACAGAGGAAACTCCCCATCATTACCCAATTTATCACCTCCACCTTCAGTGTCATCAGGCTAGTCCCACACTATCGATATTAGCGCTTCATTCTCCACATGGGTGCTGCCTTCTCAAATCTCTGCTCCTCCCTCTACCTCACTCAGAATGTACTAACCAGATCAGTGGGTGGGTAATGGGAATGCATTCGAGAACTGGCCAGGTGTAGTCTAAAGGGGAACAGCAGGGACTTCAGTGTGTGCCTGACCCAAGGGAGATGCCCACCACTCAGCCGCATGGAGCTGCAGGTCAGGCGCCTCCACTTCTTCTCATTTTTCAAGAGAAACTAGAAATACGGCTTTTATTTGAGCTTCCAACTTTTAAATGTCAGCAATTTATTTTTATTTCTATTTTAATGTCAGTTCACTATGGACCATACATTAGTAGACCAAGGGAAAGAATGCTGAAAAGGATGATAATTATTATTGTTATATGACATCTCTAAACAAGGAAAAGTATCTTCAGTGAGCTTAAATTAGTAAGGCAAGCAAGCGATTTATCTATGACATAGAAAGACTGCCCATTGCCAATGTTTATTTTTTAAAATTAACTTGGCGCTTAAAGGGGGTAAGTTTAGTTGCCTGGAAAATTTACTTGGACAAAATATTTTATTAATCATTAAAGCTGAAAAATGAGTGAAGTACTACTCTAGTTAACACTGTGTAAATAAAGACTTCTTATTCTTACTCATGCTTGAGAATCGCTCTCCTCCCTTTTAAACAGTAGCCTAATACGTTATGTCAGACTAATGGATACAACCAGGTATAAATATGCCACTGAATGTTTCCAAAAAGAATCTCAGACCTACAGCCTGCACGTCACAGGGATGGTCTTAGAACAGCAGCATGATTCTGTTTTGTCAAACTAGCCACTTCCAATTTCATTCAATGAACAGCGCATTCACTGGGTGCTTGCCTCTGCTTGGCAGCGGAGATAGAGAGAACGAAGAAATGTAAACCCAGCCCTCAGGGTGCTCTTAGACTAGTGCAGGGACCCAGTAGCAAAATAACAATAAAAGTTTTTCAACGATCCTAAGTCATATGTTATAAAGGTGATATATTGGGAAGGAACACTGAAAAATGTAGGGCAGCCATAGATCGTGGAGGCCTTGTATTTTATGTCTGTAAAATTTAGACTTGAATCATAAGACCCTGGACAGAATCGAAGGGTTTCGTGCAAGGGAGCGCACAGTCCTGTGTATGCTGCAGAAAGATTGCTGTGCCTGCAACGTGGAGAAACAGTATGGAGGAGGTCTGGGATGGAGGGAGGCCAATTGCAGGCAGTAGTGTAGGACAAAATCATCAGGACTCGGTCATGTGAGTCTCCCGAGAGTGAAGGAAGGAAGGCAGATACAATGTTTGGTAGAATTCCAAACATTTAATGACATAGTAGGACTGAAAAAAGAAGGAGAAAAAAAGAAAATGACTCCTAGAATTTCCACTTGAGGAGCTGTTCCATGGCACTGCCATTTGCCACAGTACTGAATATAGAAAGAGCAATTTTGAGAGGGAAAAACAAAGAGGTTAGTATTAACGTGCTGAATTTGAGGTGCCTGCAAGTAGCGATGTCACTCAACTGGGGATTCCTACTCAATGTCACCTTCTCAGTGAAGCCTTCCCACTAAACCTTTTTAAAATTTTGACTCCCCATCCTCCTTCCTTAATTTATATTTGTCATAGTATTTATCACCATCCAACATACTACATATTTACTTTTTAATTTTATTATCTGTCTCCTCCACCCTCTACCCAGACACTTGTGCATGTGCCTGTGTGTGTGTGTGTGTGTGTGTGTGTGTGTGCGTGTGTGTGTATGTATGGCTTAAATAATACATATTCAGATTCTTATCGTTCCGGAGGCCAAAATTCTGGAATGGGTCTCATTGGGCTACAATCAAGGTTTCAGCAAAAAAATGCATTCCTTCTGGAGGCTCTAGGGAAGAGTCTGTTTCCAGCTTCCAGAAGTCACCTCCATTCCTTGGCTCCTGGCTCGTTTCCTCCATCCCGAAAGCTAGCAAAGGCAAGTCCTCCTGCTTTCCTGTCACTCTGACCTCTTCTTTTGCCTCTCTTTTTCATTTTGAAGGACTCTTTTGATTTCATTGGGCCTTTTGTGGGTGTTTTGTTACACTCTGTAATGTTAGCATCTAGAACACGGCCTGGCATACTGTAAGCGCTGTACGAGTGTCCAATAGGAAGCTGGAAATATGGGTCTGAGTTCCGGAGCAGAGACAGAGATCTAAACGTTATCAGGAGATAAGAGGCCATGGAGTGCATAAGTTCATCCAGAAAGAGTTTTATAGTATGAGAACGTCTATGGCTCAAAGGAAGGAGCCCTGAGGAACAGCCACATTCAAAGACTGGGCAGAAGCCAAGGCTGCTGGGAGGTTTGAAGAAGGAGACTCAAAGAGGTGGGGAAATGTAAGAAACAGAAGCTAAGGGAGCAGAAAGGTGCAAGAAGGAGCAAGTGCTAGGTGCTTCCAAGAGGTCCAAAAAATTAATGGTGCCCAAGGACAAGCGCTGGATTTAGGAACCTTAACACTACCTTGGGCAGAGCACTTTTAGGCCACTGTGGACCACTTCTGAAGCCACAATAAAATTATATAAACATCCATATTTTTATGCATGTCTTGCCAGACTGAAATACATGTTTAGGTTTGCCTGACCCCCACAGGATAATCAGATCAAGTCTAGCACTCTGTGAAAATATCTAACTCAAATAGAAATAAAATTCATGTGCATGCATCTTGTCTAGAGACATTGAAGTCTGCCTCCAAGGTGACATTAGATCATGGCCCTAATTTGCCTCTCCTCCCAAAGGCTTTTGGAAGAGTTGAAATTCATGTAAGACATGGAAGGAAATCCCAGCACAGGGCTGCAATACTCTATGTTGTATATAAGGTGTGAAGCCCAGGTCTGAAGACACTGGCAGTCTGGGAGGCAGAGCAAATGTGATGGCAGGTATTTGCCCAGAAGGCCGATCGAATCCTAGTGTGG